AGCAAACAATAAGCAAAGTTGTTCATTCTACAAAAAACTGCACTGATTGAAAATTTTGCATATTATCAAGTATCCACAATACACAAAAGGGTCTTGAAATGTTATGCAGATAATAATTTGTAAGTATCTTAATTCATAAATAAGTTAATGCTGGGGTATTTATCAAACTGTCTGACTTCAGTGTTTATTATTTGAGAACTTTCTGGCTGATTGGACTGAAGAAAAAATAGCCCATCTCACTAGATGAAGACAAGAGCAAGAAAAATAACAATACCACATTTTCAACTCGGACAAAAGTCTAAGTGCAGTATCCAACAATCCCAGATCACTTATATCAATGAGCAAGTCCCCAATTCATACCAACATCTACAAGTCTTTGTTCTACTCATTGCAATATGTATGACTCCATGAGGGTATAATACAGAAATAGGATCAAGCAAGAATCAGTAGAAGTTTATATCCTTTCTACATCCTGTTTACAAGGATATCTCTAACTACATGAAGAACACCAACACCTGTACAAAAACTAAGAAAAATACACAAATATCGTTAAATAAATTTATAATTTTTCTAGTTTTTCTGTCATCACATCATATTAATATTTCTCTTACTATTCAACAAGATTTCATTCAAAGGAACACCCAACTCTGAACCAAAGAGCCTTTATACTAAAGAAAAAAGTATTCTTATTCTTGTAACTAACAATATATAAATTTACATTTAAAAAGGTCAATTGTTCTTTTCAAAGATATTATTTTTCATGCACAAAGGATGTCCTCTTTAAAATCCTATTTGTGAGTTTTGATGGCTATTGTGTTAATTGTTTTAGGTCCATATTTGTCAAATGATAAAATCAATGATTCCAACATAGCTACTCATATGAATAAAGATAAAGAAAATGGAAAGCCCTTGATGGAGTCCTTCCAAACACCGAAGATTAAATTTGTCTTGTTTGTGTTCTCTATAATACATTTCTATATATATATATATCCAAAATATAACAGGGACGAGAGAAGAGGTGTTGTTAGACACTTGCAAATGAAGCCAGGGTCCCGATTCTATTTGACAGTGCCTCAACTCCCCAGTTGGTGTCTTGAAAAATCAAAATAGAAAACCATGATCAATAGCATACTGAAATTCCAAAAGTTCCTGTGCCTACGGGCCGGAGCCCTGAGTCTTTTAAATAAATAGCGACGCCTATGGATGGGAGTCCTTGCATACAGGATGTTTCAGCTGGGTTCCTTTCCAAATGAGTTGCACGAGGTGGTGGAGAAAGAAGGATGGACTAAGAAAGAGTAATGTAGACTAAAACAGATACAACTTTTCTTGATGACTTAGTGTGCCTGACTGCTTATAATCTCGGATGTCTCACTTTTTATATAATGATTGAAGCAAGCTGAGTCATAGAGTGCTGAACATAAACGTGATGACAAATCTTACCAAGTGCTTGCGTATCAGGAGCAACCAGGGTTCAAATACAATCTACGCACACATTTTCAAACACCTCCAATCTCTTTGTTAAGGACAGAGTTCCAAAGCTGGAACCAGAGCTGAGGTGCACTGTGCAAATTGCATTGTTTCCATGGTGCATCAGTTACAATACACATAAACCAAACTGTCAATAGTCAAACCTTGTGCGATACTAATGCCCACCACTAATTTAGAAGCATACTAGAGAAGATGCAGACTATTATAAAGTCTTTAATACTTGTATACATGTTACTGTACATATCCTTCATTTGTAACTAAATTTTGATATAAGATACTGCATGAATGTGAAGCGCTTATGTAATTTGTGTATGAAACACATCAACTATTTATTCCATGTAAGTTTCATCAAAATCCCAGATGGGTCAAAAAAAAAAACTTTGTAGACACCCTTCCTTTCTTTCAACATAACTTAATACAAATGTCAAATGTAAGTACACAGACCCAATATCTGGAAAAGTTAGAATATGGGTATCTTCAACTGATAGGCTATCCTTGATTTTCTGATAAACACCCTCCATACACATCTTTCAAAAGTACACAAACTCTTACAAGTCAAAGTTGGTAAAATTAGAAAATGTAATATGAAAACCATATTATTAGTATGTTAAGGGTTACTTTTGTTAAGCCTGAGGTTTAATTGTAAAATCTTGCATTAAATACACAGCTACTTAAAATATCACAAATCAAACACTTTGTATAAAATATAAATTGTTTCCATTTATTACAACCAATATTTATATCATTTTGTATTGAAATAAGCTGAAAAAATATGAAAGAAATGTTTAAACTGTACCTGTAGTATTTTACTCCGGTTGAACACTAAAGTAACAGTAGCACAGTTGTTTCCCAACTCTGCTGAATTTGGTCTACATTTTGTGTTTGGAATCAATCCAGCCATGGAGCTTTTGGTGGAATTTTCCTTGGACACACAAATTCCTATTGAAGGGCAAGGAGGAATAAAACAGGTACTGTGGAAATTAGGGACACACTCCTGTCCCTGAGGACAATGAATCTTTTCCCCTGTTGAGTTTGGGTCAGCCAAGCAATTTTGAAAGCCACACCAAAACTAAAGTGATCAATGATGATAGTTAGACTCCTGTTAAACTACAAAATATGACAAATGTAGTCACTGTAATAAGTTTCTAAAATTCTCATTTGTTCCAGAAGACTATCCATACTCAAACTTCATCAACAAATAAAACAACAATTATAACTTAAGTGTTTCATTCACACTAGTTTCTTTTACTAGAAATATTTTCTAATTTTCATCTTAAATCAAATATTTAAATTCACTTTAATATAGTATTTAATTAAAAATGTAGGTTGCAAATTCATATTATTAATCATCATCATAATAATAATACATTGTACACTAAGGTGATAGTTTTCCATAAAGTAAATATGTTGTATCTTAACAAGTAATTAAATTAACTCACCTAATTGGTTATTTTTTCTATCTGCACAGTGAGTCACCAACACAAGGTAATAATGATATTAATATGTTGGAAAGAAAGCAGAAATAAGTTTCTAGAATTATATTTGGTTTAAGAAATTTGAGCTTTGCAGAGAACTAGACCAAAATAGAAATTTAAATTTTGGATTGGTTTTCAAATTATAATGGGCTTGGACAATCAGACTATGGATGGCAAAAAGTCAGAATTGCAAACTTTGGAAACCCATAAATAGAATTATTCTGTAGTGAAGCATGTTGTTTGATAGAGGTATTGGTGTTTAAAGGGTACATTAACTCTGATTTTGTGGCTTGTGTTGGATGTTTTGGTAACACTGATGAACTTGTGACTAGTTGCTCTTTCTTTATGTTATTAAAAAAATCACATGTTACGACCAGGTTGGGAGTTACTTTTTTGTTTCTTATAATTGTTTTGGTGTCATATGTAACTTAATTTCCCTGATAGGGGGTCAAAGGCTGCCTGGAGGGGTCACCTGTTTTAACCACTCACACCACTATACAGTAGTGTTGTCTGCCAGTCAGTCATTAGACACTAAAATGATGTCACATAGGGGACATTTATCATTGCAATTTGTACTGTTGGGCATCAGTAAAACATGTGCATGCACAAGAAGAATTATGCACTCTGTAGGTTACAACATAGGATGACATATGAACTTCAAACACAAGAAATAAAACTATTTGTTACTCTTAATTTTGGTTTTATTTACTCTTGAAGCAGAACACTTTTGGGAACCCTGCAGAAGTACATCTAGTTTTAATATTTGTATTTTAAAACTTAATTTCAGTAAAAGACACTTTTATATTGTAAAAAAGTCCTATTTCAAGAGAGAAAAAGAGGCAGTGAATATACCTTGGTGCAGGTGACTTCAGTGTCATGACAGAGACATGTGTTACAATCTTCATCCCATGTAGCGCCATGATTGTATATAAATCCATTCCATTCACACTGTCTCTTCCCTACCTCTGTCAGGAGAAATAAACAATATCTATATTATCTCTGTCTACCTAAACTAACAAGTATTTGAATTGTCAAAATATTTTACAATAAAAACTATGAGACAAAAGTTTTGTAGTTACCGTTTGGTATGTACTTTTCTTAATGCTTACTCTGCCCACTAATAACTTGCATGCTAATGATTTTTTTTTTACATGGACTTATCCTCCTCCTTGGATAATTTTCTTTTAAATCAAGGATAAGAGCCTACCAGTTATTTTAAATAACTGTAATAGCAAAATGAAAAAACAAACAAAAAACCCCAAGCAACCACTTCTCTCACTTTTGCTTAAGTCCAACACTGATTTTTCTCTAAACATACAGATACAGAACAGATGTATGTGTATTGTACAAACTTGTATATATATTCATAATTTTATTGCATACATTTTTATTTAGAACTAAGAAAAATAACTGGTACTGGATTTTACTCCTGGCAATATGAAGATAAGAAAATATGGAGTTATTACAATCTACTTGATTTTAAGAAACATGTACACCACTACTCACCTATGTTACAAAATCTTCCTGTCTGACCAGGTGGACAGATACATTGAAAGTCAGCAATACCATCTCTGCAGGTGCTTCCCTCCGCACAAGGAGAGGAAGCACAGTCATCAATGTTAATACGACAATCTGGTCCAGCAAAACCTTTGGCACATTCACATCGAAACCAGTTTATGCCATCCACACATCTTCCATTATTGTAGCAAGGGTTGGGGTTACAATCATCAATATCTGACAAAAAAATTAGATGGTTACAGTCATGCCTAGAAAAGATGCATATAAATAAAAGCTCAAATTGTGGTTCTACTAACAAATGTGGGAAAGCTGCAGCACATGCTTTAAATAAAAGATTTTTTTCCTTCCCCATGTTTGCCAAACTTACATACTAAACAAATTCATCTTATATCCCTAACAAGTACTTGAAGATTAAGATTTCTTTGACAGGTTCATGTTTTGTGCTTAAGCACTATAATCAATAATCCAGTTTGTAAATCAAAAATTGTCTGTAGATTATGAACAATGCTTATAAAAGACACTGCCACATTTAGACATTATAATATTTATTCAAAGAAAATTTCTTTGGATGTAAGTTTGTTGTAGCTTTGGAATGTTCTTGCACATTTGTGAAGCCATGGATATAAACCTTTATACATAACATATAAGGTTTGATATTTTAACACTTAAATCTTGTATCTGAGACCTTTCATTAATGATGTGGGGTGTTCTTACTTTCTGGAAGATAAGATTTTTGATATATAAAATAGATAATGTTGTAAGCATTGTATTTTGTTTGTTATATAGAGGGACCAGAACACCTACAAAATTCTAAGGATGTGACATCAAGTTTTTCTAGTATATTTGAAGCTATTTATAAATACAAGATAGTTATGAAATGTGTAGTTTTATTTCAAGATTGAGAGTGAACCAGTCAATGAGTTAGCTATTTCAGTTACTTTATAAGTAAATTTATTTGTTTTATTTTACATTAGTTAACATCATAAAATCATTTATAACATAGGCCTACACCAAGTTACAATAGTATACAGGTGTTCAAGTTAGTAGAAATATTAAAGGAGAAAATAAAACTTAAAAGTAATTTATCATCATTATGTTAACTGGATATTGAATTATTTTCACCAGATAATTCAAAAGAATTCATCAACAAGTGAACTACACTACTATAATAATATTATTGTATCTAAACTCATATACCTGTGTGTCTGTACATCTTTACAATTTACTATGTAAGCTTTCAAACAAACATTTGTTCTTAATGTGTCAAACAGTAGAAGTAAGGGCACTTTGTATATTATTAAAATAATACTTGTACAGTTAATAAAATCGCCATTCATCTGCATATTGACTAGTACAATTCATTTCATTAGATAATATGGTAATTTATTTTCCCCAAAATTTAGGGCTGCCAACTTTTAGGAATCTGTTTGAGTGAGACTTTTGAAAAAGTAAAATTGTATCACTCAGAACAGTGCTGTGACCCAGTGTGACTCGTGAGTACCGAAGGTGGCCATTTTCGGCGGGCCTGGAGACAGGCTCCCCCCATAAAAATTATTCAAAGGAGCAGAATGGTGCATTTCCTGTATCAATATTATATTTGACCTGGATCCAGGCGGTCAACTAACCACAATTCGTTGTATGAAGCTATTCATTTAATTAACACGTGAGCTTTTTTTTACTATTGAGCGTGAGAATAGGCCCTTATACACGAGTCTCACGCTCGATGGGCGAGCGTTGGTAGCTCCGAGAATGTCTGAGAAAATACTTCTACTTGTAGTGAAACAACTTCACTAACAAAGAACTACAAATATATTTTTATATTAAAAGATTACTTACTATTTTGACATAATATGCCTTCATAACCTTCTTTGCATACACAGGAAAACCCTGATCCCATGCTTACGCTTATACAGGTGCCACCATTTTGGCATGGACTGGAGAGACAACTGGGATTATTAGCTGCAGTTATAAAACAATATTTCATTTCGGTGAGTATAAAATACATAATAAACTTAATTTACTTTAAAAAATGAATTATGGTGAATATACAAGTTCTTAGGCATTCATTCAAAGATATCATAATTAACGAAGACGAGAAAACATAATTAGAATACCTAAACCTAAGGCACTATAACTAGTGTAGGTATCAATAATCTTTCTAATAATTAATACAATTAAAATTAATTCTATGTATAAAAATATCGAATATAATATTAAATATTTCAATGGATAAAGTTATTAAATATATTAATAGATGGCGCTCTAAAGACATGACACTCGCGCATTTTTCAGTACAACTAGAGAAGTGTGTGATAAGAAACGGGATAGACCGTCAAATTTTTGTCTGCAGGAATTTCTGAATTACGCCCGACTTGTCTCACGGATTTACATCCACTTAACTATCTAATGCCAACATTCGCTTACTGCCCTCTGTGGGAGTTTTGCAAATGAAATATAATATAATAAAAAATGAACAAACAATTTACTGTTTACTAAAACCTAGTCTTGCAACTTGTTTACATGAACATTTCACGGATTATGCCTTAATAAATATTGTTAAGACTGTTTTCATAAATGGCTTACAAATTTCAAGTCTAACAAAAGATCAACATCTATAGGCGAGATACAGATAATAAACTAACTGTCTTACACATTTTAAATTATGAAAAAGGTTTACAGTTCCAAACTTTATCTCTAGCTTGAATCTAGAAATTAAAATGATTCCCTCAGTTCTTTGAAACACGTCAATGATATAGAAACTTTGCTTTTTTTATCGTGATTACAGCAAAAGATCTGGGAATAAACTTCTTCAAATGCTCGCTTTAGACATAAAACTTTTGTACTCAAAACATAGAAAAAACAGTTTACTGATCAACACTACGGCGTACTTCGGAAGTTTAAATAGTCATAATGACACTTACATAATTCGATTATTAAGTGCAGATCTAAAAGCTTTAAGGTGTATTCTTATTGTATTAATAGTAATAGCTTCAATTGTTCAGAGATACCAGAAACATAAATTAAGGACTTAGGGTTTTACAAAACAATATGAATGATTTTGCCGCAATTTACTGAAAGTGAATAAACAAATGCATATTTTTACAAGACGTGACGAATGTTACCAGACCATTTATTTGTTTTTGTTACACTGAATGTGATGCTTAAGGAAAAGCTCTGATTCAATTTTATCTGTCTCTTATAAACTTTTATTCAGATATCTGAATATGTAACGTCAAAAAATAAGGAAGATTTAACATTATTTAACTATCAACTAATGAAACCGTGTTTTACTAAAAACAAATAAATCTGAACAATCAGCAAACAGAATATTTCATCATTTTATACAAACAATTTATTAAGTCTCTAGGTTTTTGGAAATTAACCAACCTATCTGACATGTGTGGCCTTCAAACCCACGTGGGCATTGACATACAAAGTTGTCTCCTAGATCTGTACATGTTCCTCCATTGGCGCAGGGATTGACAGCACAATGACTGTGTCCTGAAAAAAAAAAGTGATCATGTATAAGGGTGAAACATTTAAAAATAGATTATCCAGGTCACCTTACGGATGTCATTGCTGTATAATGTTACTTTAAAAGACTTTGTATTATATTTACATCTTTACTTCATGATAAAAATCTATTGAAACTTCGACCTTAACCTTTATTAACACCAAACTTCTAAATCTTTATGCTGAAGGACAGAGAAAGAATAGTAACAAACTTTGAAAGTTACGTTCAACGAAAGGCAACAACTTACTAAAAATAAAAGTTACAGAAAGCTAAGAATGAATGTATATTTAGCGAGAGAGGGGATACAAGCTACTGACCAAAAGTTAGAAAAAGATTTTAAAAAAGCTGAATTTTGAAGGCAATCAGCTTTAGAAACATAAAAACAAATCTAAAATACCGATATCTCTTGGGTATATATATATATATATATGTTATCGACAGATAATTGTGGAAAAATAAGTTTTTAAATTGTATCTAAACATTACTAACCACTTTGTTTTAATAATTTACTTCAAGTTATGTGGGTAACGACAAACTATGAAAATATAAAGCTAAACATTAATCAGTAACAAATGTTGAATTAAACTGAGAAGTATAAAATTATCTTATAGATTAGTTAAATATTTTCGGAAAGAAAAAATTAGTGAGAGAAAATCATATGAAGTACACAATTTCACATCAAACGCATAAAATGTAGAGTGTAACAAAACACACTTATAAAAGCAAAACAAACTGCACCAATGCTACAGGGCGTGCCAAAATTAACGGTGCTACAGCATGTTACTTGCACCTCTAACTTGGATTTTTTGTCTTCTTTTAAATTTTATACAACAGGCTTTAAAATATTTGATTGACAATAGACTAATCAACACCAATGTATTTGTGCTGCATAATATCACTATATTGCTTCAAAGTATTTTTTAAATTATAAAGAAGGGCATACAAAATCCTTTATTTAAATTAATTAGTGTATTGGTCACTTACCGAAAATTATGCGATTTGATACTATTAATTTTGACTCACTAAAATCATAACCTATCAAAAAATTTTTAAAGTTTAACTCACTAAAGTTGCAAGTTTTCCCCTTCCACCCATGTCTACATTCACAAATAAAGTCCGCGATTGAGTCGATGCATGTTCCATTGTTATGACAGGGATTCGGTTCACAATCGTTCTTATCTATGAGATTAAAAAAAAAGGGTCGCGGTAATAAACATGAAGTAACAAATGATTTTTCATAACATTAATAATACGATAAAATTAAAAAACAAACACACTCCAAGTGATCATCATTTAAAAGTTACGTAAAAACAAAGACAAGCGTAAAAATAATTATATGGAACTACATTGAAATGTATGTCTACACGTACAAATTAATTTGCCAAATATTGAAATAAAACAAAAGGGTTGGTCAAAACTAGTACATTAAGACTAAAAAAAGAAGAAAAAAGAAAGAAAACAAACCAAAAACTAAATAACAGCTAATTAAATTTATGATAAACATACGTATTTACCGAGTCATGCGGTAACCATCGAAACACGCTGCCACCGAAATTTAAATATGACGAATTAATTTAAATTATGTTTCACTTATATTATAACTAATGAAAATCATTACCTTCAATGGTCTTAAAGTACAAAATGTTCATGTGATTTTTATGTGGTTGCAACATTAATATGTTAAAAACATACGTTTATTTGTGTTACAATATGAAATTCAAAAAATGACATTTTTGTAGGAGCTTTTACTGATTTTACTTTATGAAATATATGACAGAGAGTATCTCTAATGTAACAACACTATTTGTATGCACTGTTTCTTTGCTGAATCGAACTGAAGAAACAAAAATTGGAACTACATCACTGAAAATAAAATACAATCATCTGTTTAAGATAGGGCATGCGTCGTATTTAACCTGTGGGCCAACTGTGAATACATTCAGTAACAATGCTAACCAGGATTTATCACGCCACATTCATTTCTTCTCGTTATAAAAGTACTTTAGTAACATTTTTATCACTTCAGTGTTCTGTTAGAAAAACGTTAACATTATGCGGCCCTGAAGATAACATCTGTTCTATGTTCATCTGTGATAAAAAAACGAAAACACTTTGTCAGCAATGGATTAAATTGCACGTGAGCTTCATAATTATTGTAAGAGAATGCTAAACTTCATACCACGTGAATTATATCAAAATAAAAGCTTATAGCGTTTTCAAATACTGTGGGTCAAGTTTCATCAGTGACGCTTTCCTACGGTTTGTCTAAAAACACAACCTACCTTTGTCTGCAGATTACATTCTACAGGTAATGAAATAACCTTTTTTTTTTATCTCAGTATTACCGAACTAAGATAGCTGGAATTTCTCTGATTATGAAATTACAACAGATTCATAAAAACTACTGGTGCTCAGAATGGAATTTGAGGCTTAAGTGACTGTATATCTAACTAATAAATAGGATCACACGCACGAAATGAAGATTCTGCCTTTGAAGCAGTCACGCACGACAACATTTTCCAAGTCACTGCACCCAAGTATGTACAAATATCGTCTTTAGGTATGCCTACTTAAAAAAAAAAGGTGTTTCACAGGCCGCTTCTGTAGTCTTAGCAATGCCTCACCAGGTAGAGAAGTATTGTTCAGAAACGAAGTCTTGTACAGAACTATGAGATAAGAAGAATTACGAAGAATAGCCTGAGGGCTAGGCTCCCCACCAGTAACATTGAAAGTTCTGTTAATCACCATAGGCTCTATTTCTGAGGAACTATTTTCCTTTTGGCTGCTGCTTCTCAGTTCGTAGTTCAAGCTGACATTGGGGATTATCGCTGAACGATGATTTATGGTTCTCAAATTGACCACACTTTGTTTTCTACGCCATCCCTTCTAAAAACGTCTAAAAGCTATTTCAAAATTTGAAAGGCATACTTCTGTTCCTTATTATACATGGATGAATTATTGTCAAACAGTACGACAGGGTTGTTTAGTACAGTCAATTAACGATACAAATACAAATACACAACAAATGTTTTCACATAAATCCTTTTAAAAAATTTACCGTTTTTAGAGACAGTTGCAATTCACGTGACAAATATTATTTTCTTTAATACTAATAAAATCCCAGCTTTGACTCACTGTTCTTGCTTCGATGTAAAAAGTTCTGATTGATTACTGTAAATACAATTAAGTTAATTATCTACACAATTACACTCATTCAGAATGCTCCAGTAAGTACTTTGTATACCTGTCGTTGGAAGAAGGTAGCCGTTAATAAGAAAACCATTTAATAACATAATAGCAAGACCTCAGATACTGCTTTCTATACATTCTGCTTTTTATGTTACCTTATATTTGTTCTACCAAGTCCATCAAACTTCTAAGTGAATATTTTACAAGAGAACGTATAGTTTGGGCAATGTATATTACCTTAACTATCATTTTATTTTAAACATACAGTTATTTATTAGTATCATTCAAATTCACCTTTTATACTCGTCATTAGAAATGTACGAGCATTTTTTAAATATATATATATATATATATACATATATATAATATGTAAAATGTCTAGGGGCGCTACATAAAACAAGTCTTACGCTGAAGTAACGTCTCCAACTGCTTTATGGTTTCCTTGGAACATTAGTTACAATCGAATGAGGAACGCTTTTTCAAACCTTTTTTGATAAGAAAATTTCTGCGTGTACGTTTATTGAGTGGCTAGTCACGTTTAAACTTAATTAACTTTAGGATTCATTATCAATCACTATATGTGCCACGAGAACGAGACACTTTATTAAGATGAAATTTTAAATAATAAAACACACAGTCATTTATATTCCAGTAAATACTCGAGTGTTGACGTTTAATATAAAAAAGCATCAATAATTTTATAAATTTTTTATGTGGAAAACAAAATTCAAATAAAGAACTTCCCATAAATTAATGTTGCTTTTATTCGATAAGAATATAATATCTTACGGTAATACTAAAAAAAAAAAAGATACTTATGATAACACGCGGGACAAAACCTCTTATTAATAGAAAAAATGCTTACTCGTATTACAAAAAGGTCCTTCCCAGCCTTCTTTACAAACACATAGGAATGAGTTTATTTTGTCCACACAGGTACCACCATGTTTGCAAGGGTTGGAAACACAGTCGTTTATATCTAAACCAAAAATCGCAGATTGTTAAAAACAATGATATTTTCTTTATCATAAATGTTAAGAATACGAATCTCTGCTACATTTAGGATACCTGTAAAGATGCCTTAGATTTTTACAAGTTTTTCAAAATGAGCAAATATAAAATAAAAATAACTCTCGCAAATCAAGCTTCAAATAATGTTTAATTAATATTTAAAATACGTACAAAACACATCACATTTCTTTTATGAAATTCAAATAAATCTTTCCGTGTGGTGAGTAAAATTGTCTATTGATTAACCAGTGCCAAAAAATAATAATAAAATAAATGTCATATAATGATGTAACAGAAAATTATATTTGAATAGCAATCTCACATCTAAACATATTTAATGAACTTGGAATACTTAAAAAACAAAAAAAACATACACCAGAAGCAATATGTTACCAAGCCTTTTCACGGAAAGAACAAAAAGTAAAGTTTTAATGCCGTATTTCTCCTATTAAATAAATAATGTTCTGGAGAAGAGAAAAAAAGAAGTTATTAAGAAAGACATGACAATGTAATGTATTTGTATTTTGTGGTTATTGTAAAGCTACGAACTACTGACCAGAAGGAAGTCAACCAGTCAGCACCATCCTACTACCCACCATGCACGCTAGGGAACTGACTACCACTCTTATAACGCGTACACCCACAGCTTAAGGTGCTGGAAATATACTATGATATTGCACTGATTCGAACCCGACTCACCAGATACGAAATCCAGAGCTCTATCACAGGGGTAGAATGTAATGAAAATTGGTTCTATAAAGTTACATTATTTTTACCAAATACACATTTATTATAAGCATAAACCTGAGGTCAAAACAAATCTAGCTGACATTTGAAGATGTTTATTTTTTATGGTTTCACTTCATTTCCTGCAATCTTATATATCAGTAATCAACTAAAATTATTTTTGAGAGGATAAAATTACCTTGGGCTATGATGTTGCAAGGTATAAAATATTCACGTCCCTTTGTTTTATGCAAAAAAAAAAAATTCGGTACTTTTACCTAGATAGGACACTAGTTGTTCATCAGTACTTGGAAGTGTCATCTATGATGAATGCCACTTACTGAACTTAGTTTTTCATGATCTTTTCTTTAAAAGTTAGTTTCATTTGGATAGAAGGCATACGGTGGTATGGTTAATATGAAAATGGAACATTATTCAGAATTACCATTCAAGTTATTCCGAGTAAATTTTTTTCACTTTGGACGAATGTTTTTGTACATATTGTATTAATAAAAAAACATTTTAACAGGCTTCAGTAAAATTCGTAGTGCATAGATGAATAAAATCTCATCAATATTAACCGTGATTTCTTGGGTTGTTTTACAACCTTTTTATGAGAATGGATTGTATAAGGTAATAAAAAATGTTGCCCGAGTCTGTCTAGTTAGTTCTAACAAGCGCCGCCATGATCTCAATCTTCTCAAGGTTAGCGTTTACATCCGGCAGGGGAGTGGTCGACTCTCTGCATGCTAAGCCACAAAAACTGCCACTGGTCAGCTAATTAAGCAACCAAGTTCGGCTTCTTTTCTACGCTGATAATTGTATTTAACCACGGAGATATTACAAGATATAGTGCGTACAACACACAAAGTAATCTTACTATTCTATCTGTCTGTATATTTGTATATTAAGTTGAGCCCCAGAAAAAGCTTCTTGTGTTTTTCCTTTTTTTTTTTTGCCTGTAAAACACATGTGGGCGAAATGTCTAATTCGTCTTATACATCATTCCTGCTTTCGGTAATAGAGAATTACCTAGTGGATGTTATCCTTTGCTTTCCAAGAAAATATATATATACATGCAAGACGTATCAGATAAGTAAATACTACCTTTAAGGCCAAATAACCAGAAGCGTATGAATCAAGAAGACAGACAGTTAAATATGTATTCAATTTCTAGAAGAGTAAGGAGCTGCTATGTTTAAAAGAACAGTTTTCTTCATATTTTTGGTATCTCCAGAAACCTTCATATTTTATCTTCCATTTCATGTTAGCCAGATCTTCTTTACAACTTTAATTGTTTCACATTGTTAATTGGTGAAACTATATAACTATATTTTTTCCGTTTAATTACATTTCTCATAGCAAATAAAATATCAATATTGCTATAAAACGAGGAATATATGTGTACAAAAACAAAAGTATGTATTAGACAGTGTAGTTATTTTTGAAGAGTCAACCAATTGTAATGTGGGTAATAAAAGTAAGCCTGTAGTATCAGTCAGATAATTCTGAGCTCATAATCTGTTTAGAATTCGTACTTATTCTTGTTGTGGTGAGTTTACGTTGTTGTTAATAATGGCTGGAGACGGCTTAAGTGGGTAATGAAGAAAAACTTTAATATAAGTTTAACATGACAGC